TATATATATATATAGAGAGAGAAAGAGAGAGAGAGAGAGTATTGCTATTTAGAAATAAGTTCTTATATGTATTTTTCTTAAAATATAGAACAGGAAATAAAGAAAGAAATAAAGCAAACAATTATCTCTTGTAGTTACAACCTTTGTACTTGGTTGCTGCATGTGGAGGAAGTGAAAACATTTTTTTTAGGTTTTATATATACATTTCAATAACTAAAAAATCATAAATTACTATATCAATACCACAGAATTCCACTATAATTTATCAAGTTGTATTTCAGTCTTAAAAAAATAATGATATTTTGAGCAGACTAAAGACAACCAACCTCCTTGAAATCTTGGTTCGAAAGAAAGAGAAGCCACTAGAGGAACACTCTGAGCTTTTGATTGGTTATTCATATCATATAGAGATGTAAGTGTATATAAGGGACCTTTCCAAAAATGGAAAGAGGTGGGCGGGGTTCACTGTGTTTGATTCATTACATGAGCATTATCTTACCAAATAAAAAAGATAAGAGGTTCTTATTTCATATTCTAGTTTGTCAATATCAGTAATTTGCATTCCTAATTCGTATGAAACTATAGTATTTTGACATCACAAACAAATCATTTGAGCCAGTGCTGCATTTAACATACCACGTGACACACACAAATCGATGTTTAACTGTGTTTTTTAATATTTACTTTTAAATTAAGAAATTGAGTAATGTATAATATTAAAATTTTAATTATAATCTACAGTTTGATACAAACTTATTGACATAAATTCATGAAATAGTAGTTCAATAAAATTTTTAATGCGAGTCAACAAATGCAATGACACGACCTTTCACCCGTGACCTGTTTGGAAAGGGTTAAATTCCGTGGGAATGCGAGAATGTAATATTTCAATTCCTGTATTGTATGGATTTTAACAACATTTTGTATTCCAACGTGCATTCAACAACTTTGTACTATACATACAATTTTTTCATAATATTCTCTCCTCCTTTCAGCTCTTTTCTTGTAGTCTACCATAATTCCTCTTATCTTCTTTTCTTGTTTTCTTGCTTCATGCCACATATTGAAGTTACAGTGCAGTTTGAATTCTAGTGCACAAATACAAAAAAGTGAGCATTACTCTTTTTTACAGAATTAAACAAAAAGCTTTTAAATCAAAAATTAATTTTACTATTTGTTTAACAAAAAGTAGACAAAGTGACACTGTTAAACATGTGTCTATTTTAACAAGCTTGACAAAAATCTCATTTTAAGAACAAAATAACTAAGCAAAATTTATAGCTATAATAATTTAAACCTAAATCTACTGCAGTCAAGTTTTAAGATCTGCCTATTATTAGTTCTAAATCTGTGTGTTTATAAATACTTTAGTTTAGCAGGTGGAACGTCCCTTGTTGTCCTTAAATGTTATGTATGCTATATAAACTGAAATTAGCATTAACTGCTCTTTAGCATACACATTTTCAAAGCAATTAGTTCAACAGTCATTACTTTAATCATTATCAATAACTAATTAACCTTATGCACAAGGTCAATTCATTAGACCAAGCCTGTATTGGATAATTATTGTTTATTATAAGTTATATCATTTAAAAGATTATATAACACATCTCTATAAAAATTCATAAGCTTTTAGTAAACATTACAATTAGGTTGTACATAAAAATTCAGAATTTTTAATAAAGTATTTCTACTAAAGATTTGTCTCTGAATTTACTTTAGTTAGTCTGACTCAAACTAGCATGAGTGCAAGATGATTTACATGTCAAGAATAGAAATACTTTTCTTCATAACATAATTTTCATATTTTACTTACATAACCTCTACAACCTCCTAAATAGTTTTTTCATTAAAACTTTATATCTTATCTGTTATTTCCTCTACCTTAATACTATACAGACTTGGTCCATTTGATTGACCTCGTAACAACCACAAAAAGGTATGAAATACATTTAAATCACCTTTTTTCTTTCTAGAATGACTACAGATTGTAACAAAAACTTAGTTATTTATCCTCTTGATTATAATAGTTTACATGTTTCATTTAATTTTGTTGTTTTATTGCCCTTTGAACCATGAATAACTATTATACCTGTATAACAAAACAAGAAATCACCTGGTGAGTGCGTTATGGTAAACAAAATACTGAATTAAGTAATGCATGTGCAGCTCACATGCAAGCCTCACTGAGAAATATTTTTACATTTTCTTTTTAATTTGTTTTCATATCTAACCAAAAAAAGTTTCTCATTTTTATATTTTAATTATAATAAATTGAAAATATACATAAAAAACAAGTTTAGTTTTAAGAGGGTCTTGTACTTTTTTCCAATCTAATATGAATAATTAACATTGTGGTCATGTAAAAGCAGACAACTTTACAGTAAAGACAACTGACTGTCAATGTTAGTTCTACTACTATATCCAGATAACAATTTTAAAAACAAGTTTGTACTGAAACTACAATAAACAACTTTTTTTTTATTGGTTATGTATTCTACTAGCATTTTCAACAGACTATAACTATTACCAAAATATTTCAAAGTAGAATCTTTAAATCACTACATGATATATTTTTTCCAAAATAATTAGAATTCATTATTTGATCAAATCTTACAAAATACCATTTCCCCTAAAATCAGGATTCACTAGAATGGTACTATTACAATAACGATTGTTCATATTCTATTACATAAATAAATACATTACTTAATTTAGTCTCCAATAACAGATACTCATAAATATAAAAGCATGTTACTGTGTGAAGGTATACAGTGTACAGCTAGACAATTACCCTGATTAACCAATATCACTGACTACCTATGAACATTGATTAGTATCATGTAAAATAGTCAATTAATCAGAACTACAATTAAATCAATTAACCTTTTCTGCACAGCTGTGGTTAATTGCACATTGCATTCTATACAGTTGTATTCAAAATTTCATTAAACAGCATTATTATCAATGTATGTCAATAAACTTGGCAACAGGTTTAGAATCAAATTTTTTTGTATCATCAAGTTGTGATTCCTAATTTCAAAAAGAAATATTTTTTTAAAATTCTCAATCTTCACACAATGTACATATGCTCTCGTTTCTACCCCTTTCAGTTTGTATAACTTCAATAGTATAGCTTTTACAGCTTCCTAATGATACAAACACACACTATAAATAATGACATTGTCAAATGTACAACTTTAACTTTATAGCTTAACTACTTGTTGAGACATTAATATATTTTTCCAACCCATGATATAAACTATCTATCCTTTTTTTTTTCAAGGAAGTTTTCAAAGCCACATGTTCTTATTTGATGTACTTGTTTTAACCAACAGAAAAAGCTATTTTCCTATTTCAAGCTTGCAATCTTCATTTTAAAATTGGCAGCTACAGACTTAGTTAAGAGGAAGTAACAGGTGTAAGTGAAGTTTTTGCTCATACAAATAATGGAATTTGTTTTACGCTATTTATAGCTTAGTTAGATGAAAATAGTTTTGGGACATCCTGTTTGAGAGACTAATATATTTTTTGTGTTCTAAAATGGATATTTGAAAGGTATATGAATTTGTTTTTGTACAACAAACTCAGAGAAAAAAACTAGGTCTATTTAGCTATGCATTCTAGTGAGTGTTTCATGCCGTGCAGTACATTGGTGAACCAAAATCTGATAATACATTTCTGCTGTGGTGTACTGCTTTTCACAAATGAATAAACTGCTTATGTGGTACAAGCCAGGCAATAAAACCATAAAATTAAAATAAATGTGTTCAAATTAGAAATATCATTAATTGAAGATGTAGCAACAAATAATACTTTCACAAAAAAAGGCACTTTTCATTTTCTTTTTGTAACTTTCAACCTTTCATTTCAATATACATTGATGATGTAACAACAGTTAAGAGTTAGGGTCAAGAAAATAATAGATAAAATATAAACTTCTCCCAAGAAAAACCTTTTAATATTCATTAAGGAAGTTCAAGAGATTATGCAACTTGAATATGTAAACTAAGATGAAAATAATTATTCTTATTTTTAACATGAAAATCACATTTCATTCAGTTGACCTAGTAAAGGTTTTGGAAATTCAGACAAATCTTTAGTACAAATTAAATACTCTGTTAAAATTTGATTTTTTGTGCACAACAGAACTGTAATGTTTACTAATAGCTTGCCAAGTTTCCTGAAAACGCTCTTAGTATATTCAGAGTTCTAATATGTATACCTTCACCATTTTGGGGCTAAAAAAAATTGCCTGTGCCATGCACAAAGGTTTAATGTCACAAAAAGAATCAACTAATCAAAATTAGTCTTTCAGATTATTAAAACTATCCAAGTGATCCAAATATGACCATTATGATTTCTCATTATTATTTTTGATTAATTCAAGGTTGTTCATGAAAATAATGAAATTTTGAACTAACTAAAAGTTAACATTTTCTTAAATCAAAAATGTATTTCTTTCCTTTGCCCATCTAAGCATTGGTCTGATTTTTACTTGCTTGCTCCAATCTTTTATCCCCACTTAACTGCCCTTGGCAATATCTGTCTTGTGACACTCTCAACCGATGTCAATGCACCATCTATCCTGGTACTGTGTATAAGCAACTTATTCAAATAATATTTTTTTCAAAACTGATCCAATCCACAGTCTTTAACACTGACTCTTAGTTGGGAGGAAAAGATAAATATTAATGGAAATACATTTTTGATTTAAGAAAATGTTAACTTCCAAAACATACTTACCTCTTCTCACACTACAGCTGGAATTTTACAGTGATAAGGAGGAGGGGCCGGTGATGGCATTACCCATAAAGAATGCATCTGCACAGATCATGGTTATGCCAATAGAAGATTACCATCCTAGTGGGGGAACCACACTACATCCTGAACAGGTATGCTTTTCATCTGGAACCTGATTCATGTGCTGCAGGTGGAATTTGACATGATCCATCATCACTATTGGCCAGACTCCAACCAGTTAACCAAGGTTCCACTGCTTAGGAAGTATAGGGCCATGATGGTGGCTAGGGCACTTAGACCACAATATACATACTTATGAATGGATCCCAACCTGTAGCTATAGAGTGAGGCATTCCGAGCCACTGGGATCATGACAAGAAGGTAAGCAACACTGAAGTGGACAAACTCTCTCCTCAACCTGGCAAAGTCCGAAAGACAACACCTCAAACTCAGAATGATGGGATCCTGTATGCCATACTCAACCTGAGGAAACAGAACTCATCCGGTCTGGAATTATGAACACTCATCCTCACTCTCCAACCTTATGGGCAAGGTGAATTTCACTTGTCCCCATAATTATGGGGAGGATGTGGAATAAACTATGCTCAACCAAGGACTCAGGATGGGACCAATCTGTGTTCAGAATTATGAGGAGACAATGGACCCTCTTCGATGAACAATGTACTTAACCAACATTTATCAAAAAGAAAGGCCATGCTCAACCCAACCGGATAGCCGAGCATCAAATATGAACCAGTATAACAAGTATGCTCCCAAGTATGCTAGTGCCTCTCCTACCAACATCTGGGGAAAAACATCCAGGGTTCTAGGTAAGAGGGCCCCAAACTTCACCCTCTTCTCTAAAAGTGGAGAAAATTCACTCAAAAACTGGAGAAATAACCTCTGTCCACCACCACAGTGACTGGAAACCAAGTGTGGTAAGGACTTCCTAGCTTCACTAGTAGAATATGGGGGTAGGACAAATGCTCGTCAAATGCTGAGGAACAATGCTCTGGAAACAGTGCAATAGGTAAGCCAAGTTCCCAAAGTTTTTTAAAAGCAACCTGACACTGATTTATTCAATCCAATAACTGGCATGATCACCTTATGCTTTACTTATGATAGTCCATGAGTTGCAGTCCAGCATAGTACAGTAATACCATTCAGTCTGCCTCTAGGTGTCTTATGGAACATCTCATTTCTACAGAGCCTGTTGTAATCTAGATAAAGTATATTGTGTTAGAGGTTGCTAGTGCAGAATTAGTTTCATAAAAGCACTCCTGCCTAGGCAACACTCACCAAAGAGTGGGATCCTGTGAAAAAAACAGGTAAGGGACCCTGGAAA